TAAATGGGAGCTGGAGAGTCGGCTCAGCTGACTAGAGCACTTGTTCTTGCAGAGGACCCACAGGGTGCCTGACAACAGTCTGTAACTCCAGTTTGAGGGTGTCCAATGCCCTCTTCTGACCTCCTCCGACATCTACACACACACACACACAATTAAAGATAATACAATTTCAATGAAAAAGTAGCCAGGTGATGATGGCACACACCTTTAATACCAACATTTGGGAGGCAGAGGCAGGGGGAATCTCTGAGTTAGAGGCCAGCCTCTACAGAGTGAGTTCTAGGACAGCCATGTAGAAAAATTCTATCTCAAAAACAAAACAAAACTATGTAAATGTAAACTGGGCCTGGTCATGCATGCCTTTAATTCCAGCACTCAGGAGGCAAAGGCATGTGATCTCTGTGAGTTTGGGGCCAGCTGGTCTACATATTAAGTTCTTGGACAATCAGGCATAAAAAGAGAAACCCTGCCGGGCAGTGGTGGCACACATCTTTAATCCCAGCACTTGGGAGGCAGAGCCAGGCAGATCTCTGTGAGTTCAAGGCCAGCCTGGGCTACAGAGTGAGTTCCAGGAAAGGTGCAAAGCTACACAGAGAAACCTTGTCTTGAAAAAAAAAAAAACAAAAAAACAACAACAAAAAAGAGAAACCCTGTTCCAAAACTAGCAGTAATAATAATTTACAATTTTTAAATATGTACACTTTACTTATGTATGTGTGTCTGTATATAACATGTATATTAGTGCCTGTGAAAGACAGAAGAGGATGTCAGATCCCTTGGAAACGGGGTTATAGGCTACCTGACATGAGTGCTGGTAACCGACCTTGGGTTACAAGCAAAAGCAGTGTTTTGTGCCCAGCCTTTTCCTGGGCAGGTTTGAATGAATGTCCATTCACTCAAGATAGGAAATTAACCACCAAAGTCCAACTTGGTGAATCAATAAACTCATTGGGTTTGCTTCCAGGAGAAAGGGTAAGAGGTTACTCCCAAGAGCAGAAATGATTCAAAGGGAGCTGCCTCACCAAGGTCGGCCTCAGCATGGCTGACAGACAGCTGGGGAAAGGTGGTGCTCTCTGCATAATTCCCAGGCAGCTCAGCGGGTCACTGCCTCTTGAGGCAACTATGCTTGTCTCAGAGTGTCTTACTTGTACACTTGGGAAGGGAGAGGCTTGGTGCATCTGGTCCATTTCTGGGACTTCTTGGGTTGTTTATTTCTTGAGGTTTTGTTTTTTGTTTTTCCTAAGATTTATTTTATTTTAAAATTATGTGCAGTGGGGGATAATATAAAATTATGTGCACATGGGTGCTGTAGAGACCAGAGTCATTGGATCCCATGAAGCTAGAGTTACTGCTAACTGACATGTATGCTGGGTGCCAACTTCCTGAATTTTAATGAACTTCCCTTTAGGATAAAATGATTCCCCTCTCTTTAGCACATCCTGCTCTTAATAAGCTTCCCTCCAAGATGGAATGTTTTCTCTGAGAAGGAATTCCTGAGCCACCACCCCACCCCAACACACATCACCAATGACTTATAAACAATGTCTTCAGACATTGCCAAATACATCCCAGGAGACAAAAAAAAATCTTTCCTGGTTTGAAACTGTTGCTTTAGAGTAGCATTTTAAACAGGAGTCAAACTATCACTGCCCCACTCCCTCAGCCTGATCCAGAAAGAGATTTAACCTTGATCACCATTCCAATACTCTCCCTTCCCACTGCAGAGCCTTTCACACTTGTTCCCTCAGTCAGGATCACCTCCCATGTCCTCTCCACCCTCCAGGTTCCTGGTCAAATGCTACCTCCTACTGCCCACTCTAGCCAAAAACAAAACAAACAAATAAACAAACAAACAAACAAAGCCTCCTATTAAGCCTCCACTCTATTACCCTTTTTATTTATAGATCTTTAGCCCTGCCTGAAATGACCTAATGACCTATCTTGTCTGTCTTTTCTATTAGGGTTCTCAAGGGAACAGAACTAGCAGAATAAAAGAGATTATTATTATTATTATTATTATTATTATTATTATTATTATTATTGAGACTTACTAGAATGAGTTGAACATAGGCTGGGCAGTCCAACAACAGCCATTTGCACACTGAGAAGCTGAGGGCTCAGTAGCTGAGGAGGGGCACTTTGAGGAGTGGGGGTGATCCAAAGTATCTGACCATAGGGAATCTCACCCCAGCAGTGTTGACAAGTTCTCCATAGCTGCACAGATGGTCTCTTCCCTTCAGTTAACTTCCCACACTAGCTACATGCAATCAGGGAAGAATTACACACAATTTGACAGGAAGTGTGGGACAGACTAGCTGGAATCTCAGATAAAGGTCCAATGACCTTCCCCTCACCCCTCTTCTTGTTTTTTGTTTTGTCTTGAGACAATCTCACTATGTATCCTTGGTCTGGAACTATGTAGACTATCAGAGATCTTCATGCCTCTGCCTCCCAAGCGCTGGGATTAAAAGCATGTGTCACCTTGCCTGTGTACCTCTTCTTTGTATAGGGGAACATCATTAGTCAACAAGCCGATCTGTTCTGATGATGTTGACAGCTGTTATGCTCAAAGGATAATGCTATACAACATAAACCCTGTTCTGGGTGATTATAGTATTTTGAATGTAATTGGCCCCCATAATCTCTTAGGGAGTGGCACTAGTAGGAGGTGTGGCTTTGTTGGAGTAGGTGTGATCTTATTGGAGGAAATGTGTCACTGTGGAGGTAGGCTTTGAGATCTATGCTCAAGATACCATCCAATGTCTCAGTCGACTTCCTGTTGCCTTCTGATCAAGATGTAGCCAGCACCATGTCTCCCTGCACACCACCATGCTCCCACCATGATGAGAATGGACTGAACCTCTAAACTGTAAGCTGCAAACTCAGTTAAATGTTTTCCTTTGTAAGAGTTGCTGTGGTCATGGTGTCTCTTCACAGCAATAGAAACTCTAACTAAAACAGTGATGCAGGAGACCCAGAAGTGAGTCAGCACAGTCCTGTTCTCAAAGGACTTTTAGGTGGCAAGGGCCACATCAGGCCTTTGTGGTGATCAGAAGTGTGACAACAAAGATCCCAGAGACCACAAGAAGCCAAAATCGAGGACTTGGAGAACACTACCTACCCATATAAGGAACAGACATGATGGCTCACAAAGGATGAGTAGCAGTTCATTTGGGAAGAACATTAGTCTATACTCACCTTTCCATGGTTAAGAGCACTGACTGCTCTTTCAGAAGACCCAGGTTCAGTTCCTAGCACCCATAAAGCAGCTCACAACCATCTGTAACTCCAGTTCCACAGGGGTCTGGTACTCTCTTCTGGCCTCTACAAGCACTGCATGCATGTGGTACACTTATATAACACAGATAAAACACTCATACATATTTTTTTTAAAGAATATGGGCCGTGAAAATGAATGGGTATTAAAGCCTGCCCTTCTCAGAAAACTGTTAACCTGATTGGCAACAGTTATGATACAGAACAGACAGCAGCAGAGGGAGACCACTGAGCTGTAGAAGATACTAGGGGCTATGTGGTAGCTGGGGAAGGCCACCCAGAATGAGTCCAAGTGGTCTGGGATCCTGCCATGCCAGGTGCTGAAGATGTGAGAACCTGCCCTTGTCTTAGAACAATGCTGAGCTGGTGACACACCTTGACCTACACAGTCCTTGCCCTACATACCCTCAAAGTTTACCCAGATAGAAGCCCCACTTACTGATCAGGACACAAGATTAGCAAAGTCCAAGTTAGAGCTGGGGAAATAACTCAGTTGGTAGAGTGCCAACCTAGCACATATGAAGTTCTTCATTCCATCCATCCCAGCACCATATAAACCAGGTATGATAAGGTACACATATATTTCCAGCACTTGAGAGGTGAAGGCAAGAAGATTAGAAATTCAAGATCATCCCCATACAGATGTCAAAGCTACTCACTAGAGAAGCAACACAGCTGGTGTCTGAGAGTTTAGAGTGACCAAAGCGGAAGACGCTGGGCACAGGGCCAAGGCAGCCACCACAGGAGAATGGCATCCAGTGTTCCAGGGCCATCCTCTCATTCTGACTTTCCCTGTTGTTGTGTATGCAAGGCCAATTAGAAGACTGGATGTAGCAGGCTCGACTGAGCCCTTTAGGATTATAAGAAGTGAAATCTCAGTTGTCAAACTGCCTTTGAACTGCATCTTCAAGCATAGGTTCCTCATCTTACCATGCTAATGAGGTTTTCTAGGTAGGCGTATGGTCCTTGAAAAGGATAAAGCAGTCACCTAGCAAATGGGGTAACAGCATACCACTTGCTGGGGAGAGCCACACTGGAAACTGATGTCCACTCCAGGTAAAAAATTGTCCAATGGGAACAAGCTACACAGTGTGGATTTCTGGAGTAACATGCAAGATACCCACCACCCCTACACCTATGACATCTTTTCCTCACATGTCTGTGGCCATTACAAGTCCCAATCCCCCAAAATGACAATTTGAGCTCAGCTCAGGCAGGACTTTGGCCTGGTAAATGCTCAGCACTTCTCAAAAACCTTGTGAAGTGGGTTTCTGTTTGCTGGAAAAAGCCATTACTTTCTTACCTGCTCCTACAGTCCCTCCCCCAATCTCCAGAGAGGACATCTAGTTCTCTAATAACAGGCTTCCAGCAGATGAGAGCTCCACACTAATTCCCAGGCTGCTCCAGCTAACCCCCTCCTGCTGCAACAAAACCCCTCAGAACTGGCAAGACTCTTCCACCAATTCGCTACCTTCTCTGCTCCCCATAGCCCTGGCAACTGTCAGTCTGCTCCTCTTTGTCCCTGATAATAATGGAGTGATCATGTTGGCAGTTTCTTTACTACATACCCCTTGCATATACACAGAGAACCTCTTTGATGTTATCAAAGCCTTGCCATTAATTAATATGATTGGGTAAGGATTTTAGAGCATGATTCCTGGGGTGAATTAAGAACAGACCTGGGGTGGGGGGGACTCTTACAAGCAGAGAAAAAAACTAAAAACTTCTCTGTTAAGTGTAAATGAGTGAGATGAATTTCAAAGGAAGGGTTGAAGACCTGCTTGATAAAGGAGGAGTGGGCAAAAGGTTGTTACAGCAGTCTGAGGAGAGACCTGTAAGAGTCTAATGAGAAATGAAAGTACTATCTCAAGGTTATGGGAAGAGGTCAGCAGAGTAAACACAGCAAGGCTATCAAGTGGTAAAGGGAAGGGGCATCCAAGGCTCAACAGGAAATGATCCTTGGTGTAATTCCGGGAAAGAAGCAGTGTCTGCAAGGACCAATTAGAACTGTAGTGATGTGGAGAAGCTGCAGTACTGCAGGTCCGTAGGCTAATCACCTTATCTTGGAGAAGTTTGTTTTCAAATTTATTATTTTATGATTGTTTTGCCTGAATGCATGTCCAGGCCCCATGTACATGCAACAGCCAGAAGAGGGTGTCAGACCCCTTGGAATTGCAATTATAAATGCCCATGAGCTGTCACATGAGTGCTGGACGTTGAACCTGGTCCTCTGAAAAAGCACAGCCAGTGTTCTTAACTGATGAGCCATCACTGCAGTCCCATCTCAGGCTAGCATTGGCTCCTGAATAGCCATTCATTGCTCACCTTTGTCAGAACTAACATCTTGTGGCTAATAAAAACCTTTGGAGCCTATTAATTTAGCAGATCACTAGCTTTCACCAGCTGAAAAGCTAAGAATGTCATCAAATAGCATCTGAGACCTATAGGAGAGCCTCCTCCATCTTGCTGTGATCACCTTTCTGATATACCCATCAACATATTTTAAAAGTGCCTTGATAATGACTTTCTTTGCTCTGTAAAACTATAAAACTTCATGAAGCTTGTTTCCAGTGGAACAAGGAATTTGGTGTAACCTAAACCTGTGCTGCCAGGCCACAGTCACTCAAATTTGGCTCTAGAATAAACAAACTATCTCCTATTCCCTTTAAGGTGAGAGATGTGGTTTTTTCATATCAACACTGGAGATCCCAGCCAGGGTGTCATCTGAATGCCTCATGCTCCCAATTCTCTCTGCTTCTTTAGGATGCCCCACCAGGGCTTTCTTGGAGGCGTGTTTGTCTGCACCCCATTTAACAACTGAGGATAGTTTCCCAATATTCTCCTGGGGCTGAGACCACGCCATTACTGCATTGTGCTTAATTCTTAGCACTATCAAAGGGTGTGCCAGGTAGGTTTGGGGGGCATGGGAGCCATGAAGTGTTTTTAGATCACATCAGATGACATTCTCTATCATGGTGTTCACTGGCGGTGGCCACATCTGAGGATCAGCAGGCGGGAACTGAGCTCCAGGAATTCTGCTCACCAGAATGCAAGGCTTTGATGGGTAAACCTCTGATAGGCAAGGTCCTGAGGGCTTCAGCTCCATGTTTCTTGCTACTGCTGTGCCTTTGCTTGTTTACCACTGCCATTTTTCTCCGTTATCTGGCATGGTGTGAATGGGTATGGGGGGATCCCCATTGCCTTTAACGTAGTGTGATTATCTCATGAAAATATTCCCTCTGCTGGGCATTTTTACCTGTGGATTATTATGAAGATGATTTCCTCTTAAGATGTACTGTTTAGCTGGAGTAATGATTTTATACAATAGTGTTAGCCTAAATAGAATTTTGATTATTAAGGGTTTTAAACAAATGTAGTAAGGGATTATGATAGAAGTTAATTTAGTGGAAAAATTAATATAGGCAAAGGTAGGATAGTGTTGCCCCCACCCATGATAAAGCAGGGACTGCAGAGGAGAGAAAATAGGAACAAGGAAGTATCATATAGCTAGGACTTATGAGCTTCATTTGAGGAGTCATATATACTATGGCTTAGGTTCATGATTAAGGAAGTCCCAGAAGTCAGGCTAACTCAAGTTCTTTTTGATGTTGGGAAATGTGTTCATGGGTTTCTGTGTGTGTCATAGCTAAAACAGGTTAAAATAACTGACTTCATGTAATTGAAAAACAAAGAATTAGCTGGTTAGTTAAGATAATTGGACAGAACGCTAAAATATAAAAAAATGAAACAAGTAACCTATTTTTCTGGCAATTACAAAAACTAGTGCCTATGTAAACAAGCTGAAAGGCTCCTGATCTGTGAGAAGTCTAAAAGAAGAATGTTTAACTGAGTGTGGGTTTGTAAGAAAATGTGTAAGGTTGCGGTTAAGAAATGTAATGGGGTTGACCTGTTCCAGAAAAAATGTTTTTAAGGTGATTATGTAGCAACTATGTAACTTTTGATTATAGGAAAAACCCTCTTCTTATGACGGACTTGGTATGGAGAAAGAAAGAGTGTCTGAAAAAGAAGTAGAAGCAGATTTTACCCCTCAGAAAAGATGTCTGTGTGTTTTCCCCACCAACTCTGCATCTCCCTCCCAGTCTCTCTGATCTGCAGAAGGCTGGACCCTCTGCAGTTCACTGCACATAACAGAAGGCTGTAGGGGAATAGGAAGCAGAGCGCGTGAGCTGAGAGTAACCACAAACAGCAGGATTCAAGTCTTGGCTTTTCTTCACAATTATAATAGGAGCTGTTCCCCGGGAAACTCAGTTACATTCATGACCTCTCAGCGTGACTTCAGGGCCTTACACTAAACAAGTGGCTCACCTCTTGACAGTAAAGCTAAGAGACATTTTCACAAAGCTATGAACAAGCCCCCAAAATCCTGTTTGTCCCTCAGACCCATCAATTCCAAAGCTAAGGTCCCATTTACCCTCCAGATTCTTCAGTCTATGACTAAACACACAAAAGAAGCGAATGACTGGATTCCTGCTGGGAAAAAAAAGGAAGAAATGAAAGCAAGAGACCAAAAGGGAGAGAAGACGGTGGGTTTGGGGGAAAAGAATAAAGGAGTTACAGTACCATACCCTGAAGAAAGTGTGCAGGAAGAGGTCAGGACCACCAGGAAGATGTAGCTTTCTAGAAGAGAAAGATTGCCCTCTGGTGTTTGGGGAGGCCATATAAGAAACAAGCACCTGCCTGAACCTGAAGTCAGGTGCACACCCTAGATGCTAGCTGGAGACAGAAAAACAAGGACTCTGCAATCTTGGAAACCCATGGTCTGTGCATTTCCACTGTGAACTCTTGATTAGATGAGGCCTGTCCCCTGACCTCTCTCAGTGTTCCCTGAAACCACCACAAAACACTTTTTTTAAACTTATATATTCAAACGAATGTAACTATATCAAACAAAATCGTTTTTATTTTTATTTTTTTCCTGTGTGGTTGTGTGTATGTGTTCATGTGTACACATGGACATGGAGGCTACAGGCCAACAATGGTGTCTTCCTTATTCATTCTACTACAACCTATTTTTTTTCTTTTTTTAATACCAAATGCTGTTTATTAAAGGAGGGAAGAGGTCTTAAATACAGGCTTACAGCATAATGGGAGAACCCTGGAGGATAGAAGTTCGCTACCAATGTTTTACAATCTTGCATCTAAGCTGTTAACGCCCATTATGCAGGATACACAGACAAGGAACTTCCCTTAAGCATTCAGGAGGGTAGAACCCGGCAAGGAACTAGCATAGGGAAGATATCAAGGTCAAGGTCAGCCAGCAAGGCAACACTTACCCAAAATGGGGGCCAGGGTCCTATAGGTCCCCCTTTTACTAAAAAATGAGCTTCTGACTTAGGTTGCGTGGGACGTCAGCAGGTCACCTTACCCATCATGGAGATGCCTGCCCAGGCCACACAGGTGCTCTGGCTTAGGTTGGTGAGTGCCCCCCAGACATTACCCGTCTCTGAATACTCATTATCATACAGGCTCAATCGTGTGTGAGCTGCAGAGTTAACTGCTGCCAAAGATCTCAAAGTGGCACTGGACTTGCAATCTGTGTGTTTGACACAGAAAAGACCAACAGAGGTCCTATCCCACCCATAGCCAGTAGGCTAAAACAACCTATTTTTTAAAGATTTACTTTTATTATTTATGTACACACGTGTGTTTCTATGTGGAATGTATGCTACATGTGTTTTTGCTTGTGAAGACCAGAAGAGGACATCACATACCCTGGAACTGAAGTTTTAGGTGGTTGTGAGCAACCTGACATTGGGGCTAGGAACTGAACTCAACCTCTGAAGAACAGCAAGCACACCTACCTGCTGAGCCATTTCTCCAGATCAACGCCCTAGTTTTTGAGATGAAGTTTCTCACTGAACCTGCAACAACCAATTTCACTAGGCTGGGTGATAACAAGCTCTGTGGAGTCTACTGTCTCCGGTTCCCCAGCCCACTCCAAACACTGAGATTACAGGCGCACATCACTTTGCTCAGCTTTTTAACCTGTATGTTGGAAACACAAACTGAGCCATTTCTCAAGCCTCCAAACTTTACTTTTAAAAAAAGTTCACGGCCAAAAGCCCACCCTGCACCAATTGGGAACAGGTAAGGCCCCATCTCCAGACTGGGCAGACCAGGTCTCTAGCCCCTCCCCCCAGCCATAGGAGCCCCAGGGACCTGACAGCTGCCTCTTCCGCTGTTCCCTTGCCAAGCCAACCATCCCCAGTGGCACCAGTGACCACCCAAGATAAACTCACCCTGCACCAATTGGGAATAGCTGCTCCCTGAGACAGAGCCCACCAGCGCCGACTGGACTAAGAGCTGCTCCCTGAGACACAGAGTCCATCAGCACCGACTCGACCAAGTGCTCCATAGGACCAGGAGAGGCACCCTCAGACACAGACATGGCTTGCACTGAGTGGAAGAGAAATGGGTAGATTCCAGTGCAAAAATACAGTCAACAACATAAATACCAATATGGCACCATTAGAACCTCATGGTTCTACATCAGTAAAACCTGAACAGCCCAACGAAGAAAATGCAGAAGAAATTGACCTTAAAAATGACTTTAAGAAGATGATAGAGGTGTTTAAAGAGGAAATGAAAAATTCCCTCAAAGAAATCGAGGAAAAAACAAACAAAAAATTGGAAGAAATCAGTAAGTTCATTAAAGAAAGCAAAAAAAAAAGAAAAAGAAAAAGAAAAAGCAATCAAACAGGTGAAGGAAACAGTTCAAATTTTGAAAACCGAAATAGAGGCAATAAAGAAGACACAAACTGAGGGAATTCTGGAAATGGAAAATCTGAGTAAACATACAGGAACTCAAATGCAAGCATATCCAACAGAATGCAAGAGATAGAAGAAAAAATCTCTGGCACTGAAGATACAATAGAGGAAATAAATTCATCAGTCAAAGAAAACACTAAAGCCAACAAAGTCATAACACAAAACATCCAGGAAATTTGGAACACCATGAAAAGACCAAACCTGAGAATAACAGGGATACAAGAAAGAGGGATACAACTCAAAGGCACAGAAAATATATTCAACAAAAACAAAGAAGGAAACTTTTCTAACCTAAAGAAGGAAATGCCTATGAAGATACAAGAAGGTTACAGAACATCAAACAGACTGGCTACAAAGAAAAAGTCCCCTCACCACATAATCATCAAACATATAGAAATAAGAAAAAATATTAAGAGCTGCAAAGGAAAAACGCCAAGTAACATATAAAGGAAGACCCATCAGAATAACACCTGACTTCTTAATGGAGACTATGAAAGCCAGAAGGTCCTGAACAGACATTATGCAGACACTAAGAGACCATGGATGCCAACCTAGACTATTATACCCAGCAAAATTCTCAATCAACATAGATGGAGTAAACAAAATATTCCATGATAAAACCAGATTTAAACAATACCTATCCACAAATCCAGCCCTACAGAAAGCACTAGAAGAAAAAATCCAACCTAAGGAAGTTAGATACATCCATGAAAACACAGGCAATAGACAATCACACACCAACAAATTCCAAAGAAGGAAAACACACAACACTGCCACCTAAAAAAACAGGAATTAACAATCACTGGTCATTAATATCCATTAATATCAATGGTTTCAATTGGCCTATAAAAAGACACAGGCTGACAGAATGAATACGAAAACAGGATCCATCCTTCTGTTGCATACAAGAAACACACCTCAACTTTAAAGACAGACACTACCTTAGAGTAAAAGGCTGGGAAAAGACTTTCCAATCAAATGAACTTTAGAAGCAAGCTGGTGTAGCTATCCTAATATCTAATAAAATAGACTTCAAACTAAAATCAATCGAAAGAGATTGGGAAGGACATTACATATTTATCACAGGAAAAATCCAATAGGATGAAGTCTCAATTCTGAGCATTTATGCCCCCAATACAAGAGCACCCACATTTGTAAAAGAAACATTACTAATGTTTAGTAATGTTTAAATCTTACCTAAATCACACATCAAACTTCACACACTAGTAGTGGGAGATTTTTAACACCCCACTCTCACCAATGGACAGGTCTGCCAGACAGAAACTTAACAGAGAAATAAGGGAACTAACAGAGATTATGAGTCAAATGGACTTAATAATATCTACAGAACATTCTACCCTAACACAAAAGAATATACCTTCCTCTCAGCACCCCATAGAAACTTCTCTAAAATTGACCACATGCTTGGTCACAAAGCAAATCAAATACAAAAAATTGGAATAACCTCCTGTATTTTGTCAAACCACCATGCCTTAAAGTTAGATTTCAACAACAACAAAAATTACAGAAATCCTACAATCACATGGAAACTCAATAATGTCCAACTGAAGCAACAATGGGTCAAGGAAGAAATAAAGAAAGAAATTAAAGACCTCCTAGAATTCAATGAAAATGAAAATACAACATACCCAAACTTATGGAACACTATGAAAGCAGTGCTAAGAGGAAAATTCATAACACTAAATGCCCACATAAATAAGATGGAGAAATCTCACACTAGTGACTTAACAGCACACCTAAAAGCTCTAGAACAAGAAGCAAAGTTACCCAGTAGGAACAGATGCCAGGAAATAATCATATTGAGAGCTGAAATCAATAAAATAGAAACAAAGAGAATACAAAGAATCAATGAAACAAAGAGTTGGTTCTTTGAGAAAATCAACAAGATAGAAAAGCCCTTATCCAAATTAACCAAAAGGCAGAGAAAGAGAGCATCCAAATTAACAAAATCAGAAATGAAAAGGGAGACAAAACAACAGACAATGAGGAAATCCAGAGAATCATCAGGTCATACTTCAAAAACCTTTACTCCACAAAATTGGAAAATCTGAAAGAAATGGACTATTTTCCGGATAGGTACCATATACCAAAGTTAAATCAAGACCAGATAAACTAATTAAACAGACCAATGATCCCTAAGGAAAGAGAAACAGTCATTAAAAGTCTCCCAACCAAAAAAGGCCCAGGACCAGATGGTTTTAGCTCAGAATTCTATCAGATTTTCAAGGAAGAGCTAATACCAATACTCTTCAAATTGATCCACACAATAAAAACAGAAGGAACATTACCAAACTCTTTTTATGAGGCTACAATTACCTTCATAATTACAAAACACAAAGATGCAACAAAGAAATAGAATTACAGATGCAAAAATACTCAATAAATTACTGGCTAACGGAATCCAAAAACACATCAAAAAAATTATCTACCATGACCAAGTAGGCTTCATCCCAGGGATGCAAGGATGGTTCAACATAAGAAAATCTGTCAATGTAATACCCCATATAGACAAAATGAAAGGGAAAAAAACACATGATCATCTCATTAGATGCTGAAAAAGCCTTTGGCAAAATCCAACATCCCTTCATGATAAAGGTTCTACAGAGATCAGGAATACAAGGAACATACCTAAAGATAATAAAGGCAATTTACAGCAAGCTGACAGCCAACATCAAATTAAATGGAGAGAAACTCAAAGCAATTCCACTAAAATCAGGAACAAGACAAGAATGTCCATTCTCCCCATATTTATTCAATATAGCACTTGAAGTTCTAGCTAGAGCAATAAGACAACAAAAGGACATCAAAAGGATAGAAACTGGAAAGGAAGAAATCAAACTCTCACTATTTACAGACAATATGTTAGTATACATTAGTGACCCCAAAAATTCTATTAGAGAACTCCTACAGCTGATAAACTCCTTTAGTAATGTGGCAGGATATAAGATTAACTCAAAAAAATCAGTAGCCCTCCTATATACAAATAATAAATGAGCTGAGAAAGAAATTAGAGAAACATCACCCTTTACAACAGCCACAAATAATATAAAATACCTTGGGGTAACACTAACTTAACAAGTGAAGGACCTGTATGATAAGAACTTTAAGTCTCTAAAGAAATTGAAGAAGATATCAGAAAATAGAAAGATCTCCCATGCTCATGGATAGGTAGGGTTAACATAGTAAAAATGGCAATCTTACCAAAAGCAATCTACAGATTCAATGCAATCCCCATCAAAATCCCAACACAATTCTTCATAGACCTTGAAAAAACAAAACTCAAATTCATTTGGAAAAACAAAAAACCCAGGATAGCTAAAAAAATCCTGTACAATAAAGCAACCTCTGGAGGCATCACCATCCCTGACTTCAAGCTCTACTATAGAGCTACAGTAATAAAAACAGCTTGGTATTGGCATAAAAACCGACATGTGGACCAAAGGAATAGAATTGAAGACCCTAACATTAATCCGCACACCTATGAGCACTTGATTTTTGACAAAGAAGCTGAAACTGTACAAAGGAAAAAAGAAAGCATCTTCAACAAATGGTGCTGGCATAACTGGATGTCAACATGTAGAAAATTGCAAACAGATCCATATCTGTTGCCATGCACAAATCTCAAGTCTAAGTGGATCAAAGACCTCAACATAAATCCAGTTATACTGAACTTGATAGAAGAGAAAGTAGGAAGTAGTCTTGAATGCATTGGCACAGGAGACTACTTCCTAAATATAACACCAGTAGCATAGACACTAAGAGCAACAATTAATAAATGGGACCTCTTGAAACTGACAAGCTTTTGTAGGGCAAACAACACCGTCAATAAAACAAGACAAAAGAACAGCCTATAGAATAGGAAAAGATCTTGACCAACCCCATATCTGACAGAGGGCTGATCTCCAAAATATATAAAGAACTCAACAAACTAGACATTAAAATACCAAACAAACCAATTAAACAATAGGCTACAGAGTTAAACAGAGAATTCTCAATAGAAGAATCTCAAATAGCTGAAAGACATTTAAAAAAGTGCTCAACATCCTTAGTCATCAGGGAAATGCAAATCAAAATGACCCTGAGATACCATCTTACACCTGTCAGAATGACGAAGATCAAAAACACTGAAGATAGCTTATGTTGGCGAGGATGCAGAGCAAGGGAAACACTCCTCCACTGTTGGTAGGAGTGCAAACTTGTACAGCAATTTTGGTAATCAGTATGGTGATTTCTCAGAAAACTGGGAATCAATCTACCTCAAGATCCTCTTGGGCATACACCCAAGGAATGCTCAATCATACCACAAGGACATATTCTCAATTATGTTCATAGCAGCATTATTCATAATAGCCAGAACCTGGAAACAACCTAGATGCCCCTCAATGGATAAAGAAAATGTGGCACATATATACAATGGAGTACCACTCAGCAGTAAAAAACAATGATATCATGAAATTTGCAAGCAAATGGATGGAACTAGAAAATATCCTGAGTGACATAACCGAGACTCAGAAGGACAAACATTGTATGTATTCACTTTTTTTTTTTTTTTTTTTTTTGAGACAGCGTTTCTCTGTGTAGCTTTGCGCCTTTCCTCCATAGACCAGGCTGGCCTCGAACTCCCAGAGATCCGCCTGCCTCTGCCTCCCGAGTGCTGGGATTAAAGGCTTGGGCCACCACCGCCCGGAGTATGTACTCACTCTTAATTGGATACTAGATGTAAAGCAAAGGATAACCAGACTATAACCCACAGCTACAGAGAAGCTGGTGAACAAGGAGGACCCTAAGAAGGATGCATAGATCGCCCAGTGAAGGAGAAATAGATGAGATCTACATGAGCAAACTGGGGGTGAGGAGGGGTAATGGAGGGCAAGGGATGGGGGATGAAAACATAGGGGAATGGGAGGTTCGAGCTGGAACAGGGACAGAATTGGAGACCAAGGAAAGAAATACCATGATAAACGAAGAAGACATCATGGGAATAGGGAGAAACAGGGTGCTAGGGAAGTTCCCACAAATCCATAAGGATAACCCCACCTTAGACTACCAGCAATAGTTGAGAGGCTGCCTGAACTGGCCTACTCCAGTAATCAGATTAGTGAATACCCTGTCATCATAGAGCCTTCATCCAATAACTGATGGAAGCAGATGCAGAGATCCATGGCCAGGTGCCAGGCCAAGCTCCAGGAGTCCAATCGATGAGAGGAGGGATTCTATGAGCAAGGGACATCGAGATCATGACAGGAAAACAAGATCATGATGGGAAAATGTACAGAGATGGCCAGCCAAACTAGTGGAAACGCATGAACTGTGGACCCCCCATGGGACTGGACTAGGCCCTTTGGATAGGCGAGACAGTTAAAGTTTAACTTGAACTGGTTAGGGGGCCCCCAGGCGGTGGGATCAGGATCCATCCCTGGTGCATGAGTGGGCTTTTTGGAGCCCAGGGCTCATGGTAGGACACCTTGTGCAGTCTTGGTGCAGGAAGGAGGGGCTTGGACCTGCCTCAAATGAATGTACCAGGCTCTGCTGACTCCTCATGGGAGACCTTGCCTTGGAGAGGGTGGGAATGGGGGGATGGATTAGAGGGGAAGGCTGGGGAGCGGGAGGAAGAGAGGGGGATCTGTGGTTGGTATGTAAAATAAATAGAAAATTTCTTAGTAATAAAAAAAAGAAGGAAATATGCTGCAATAAAGGAAAAGTCACTTAGATGAAAAAAAAAAAAAGTTCATATACCATATGAGTTCAGTAGCCATGATCTGTTGACTCCTGGTATATATCCTGTACGAACATACATGAAGGGAAGATGGCTCAGTGGAGGAAAGCATTCCCCCCCCCCAGACAGGGTTTCTGTGTGTAATAGTTCTGGCTATCCTGGAATTCACTTCATAGACCAGGCTGGCCTAGAACTCACAGAGATCCGCCTGCCTCTGCCACCCAAGTGCTGGGGATTAAAGGCGTGTGCCACAACCGACTGGGTGAGGGAGGAAAGCATTTGAAATACGAGCCTTAAAACCTAAATTCAAGTGGGGCAGTGGTAGCTCACAACTTTAATCTCAGCACTTGGAAGACAAGGCAGGCGGATCTCTGTGAGTTTGAGGCCAGCCTGGTCTACAAAGTGAGTTATGGGACAGCCAGGGCTACACAGAGAAACCCTGTCTCAAAAAACAAAATCAAAATCTAAATTCAATCCCCAAACTCTACTTTAAAAAAGCCAGATACAGTGGTGCACATCTGTATTTAAAGCACTCCTCTGACAAGATGGATGGATGGTGGAAAAAGGGGACTATCTCCTGGAAGCTCACAAAACAGCTATCCTGAACCATGTAATGCAGTGGTAGAAACCAGATTCTGTACCCAGAAGTAGGAGAAAACGGACTCATGGAAGTTGTCCTCTGACCTCTACATATGTGCAAATGGTTCACAAATACCAGCACTCACACTTAAATAACTTTTAAAAATATGAAGTATAGACTGAATGGTTGGTTCCAATATCACCACACATGCTACACATAGAAAGAAAAATCTGAACAGACCAGAGCTAACCACAAAAGAGAAAAGCAACATCAATAGTGAATGCCCTAGAACTCATTTATTCAAAGTACATCCATATAATAAAAAAGTATTAATTATTGATGGTGCAAGCTCAAGATAGAGACTGTTAATAAAAATTAAAAAAAAAAATAGCTACAGGACAAGCAAGATGGCTCAATGGGTAACAGTGATGGTCACCAAGCCTGACAATCCAAGTACAATCCCTAGGATACACATGGTGTGAGATTACTGATTCTCACCGATTCACTGATCTCCTGATAGCCACATATACCTAGCAGCACGTGTACATAAATATATACAAAATAAATGAATGCACTTTTTAATAATAAACTACCCTCTTCTAGTATGCAGTTAATTCTATAAAATCTCACAAAATTGTGGGAATACATACAAGTCCGTACAGGCACTGACCAAATACAGGCACATGTGTACATATGTATGTGTGTAGGGGGGGTGTATTCCATACACATGCCCACTTATAAAATCACCCTACTATTCTCATGGCTGGTACTTAAGGTTTTACTAGACTCCCACAACAAATGGGAATATCACTGACTTAATTTCCCACAAACTTTCTAAGTTTGGTAAAATGTATCTTATATCACATTCTACAAAAACATTTCTGAAATTAATCAATGTCAACCTGAAATGAAATTCATCTTTAACAGGTCAAATATAAATATGTGTGCTTATCATTATTAGTTAATTTGTGACTAACTTTCCTCATGCATAATGTTTGTTATGCCTAAACAATCAATACATAACTAGATTTGTTTTCTGTAATATTAATAAGGTGATGTGCAATTAGATCACACATAAAATGAACTTCAATTAGATAAAGAAATAAATTTCATTTTGGAATACACTAATAAGCTAGGAATTTATTTCTCAGTAAACCCTGTTATGTAAAACTGCACCTGTAAAAACTGACTGGTATGAGTCATGTAGTATATATGTTGAATTCTGTTAGAACACAAATAGATCATCCCCACCTATGAACTAATGATGGGACTGATCTGTGATGTGGTAATGAATGATTTCCCAATCATGACATTCCAAAAACTTCTCTTCAATATGAGTTCCTCCATGAGACGCAAAATTTGACCCACATTGTGAGAAACAAAGGTCTCACCCTAGTATGAGACATGTGATGTCTATATAGTTAACCTGCTACTGAAGATTTTTTCACATTCAGAGCACAAACAGGGTCTCTCTCCTGGGTGAATTCATTTGTTCATGCTGTCGGAGTTGGGCTTTAGAAGCCAAGACTTTCCCACAGATACTACATTTGGAAGGCTTCTTCACCATGTGAATTCGACAGTATACCCTCAGTTGGTGTATCTGAGTAAACCATATTCCAGCCTTGACATTCCTAAGGCTTGTCCTCAATGTGAGTTTGTAGATGAGATGTCAACTCTGACTTCTGTAAGAACACTTTCCCACATCTCTCACAGACAAAAGGTGTTTCCTTCCTGTGAATCAACTTATGTTTAGAAAAAACTGACCTGCTTCTAAAGGTTTTCCCACAGTGAGTACACACATAAGGTCTCTCTCCTGTGTGAATTCGCTCATGCTCTTGGAGTTGGACCTTAGTACAAAAGGCTTTCCAACAGTTGCTGCATTTGTAAGGTCTCTCTCCTGTATGAATGAGAAGATGCACCTTCAGTTCAGATGGAGAACAAAATGATTTCCCACAGAAATTGCACTTGTAAGGCTTCTCAACCAGGTGAATCTTTTCATGTCTGCTCAATGTTGACAATTGTTTGAAGGCCTTTCCACACACAGAACACACATAAGGCCTCTCTCCTGTGTGAATTCGAGAATGTGCCTTCAGTTGAGATGTTTTACTAAATGATTTCCCACAATCAAGACATTTACAAGGCTTCTCTCCTGTGTGGATTTGATAATGGGATTTCAGTTGGGATGGATAATTAAACAACTTCCCACAGTCAGGGCATTTGTAAGGTTTCTCACCAATATGAAGTTGCTGATGGGGTATCAAAGCAGACTCCTGGAGGCCTGTCTCACATTTCTGAGAGACAAAAGGCTTCTCTTTAGTGTGAATTAACTGATGTTTACGAAAAGATGACCTGCTACTGAAGGCTTTTCCACATTCAGTGCACACAAAGGGTTTCTCTCCTGTGTGGATTCGCTCATGCTCTTGGACTTGTTCCTTAGTAGAGAAGGCTTTTCCACAATGGCTGCATTTATAAGGTCTCTCTCCGGTGTGAACTCGATAGTGTGCCTTCAGTTGGGACATTTTACTGAACAGTTTCCAACATTCACGGCACTTGTAAGGCTTGTCTCCCGTGTGATTCTGATAATGCACCTTCAGTTCACATGGAAAATTAAACGATTTCCCACACTCATGGCATTTATAAGGCTTCTCCCCTGTGTGACTATGGCAATGTACCTTCAGTTGGGATGGATAATTAAATGACTTCCCACAGTCACTGCATTTATAAGGCTTCTCCCCAGGGTGAAGTTTTTCATGCCTGTCTAGTATTGATTTCTGATTAAAGGCCTTTCCACACTGAGAACACACATAAGGTTTCTCCCCTGTGTGAATCCGTTGATGCACCTTGAGTTTGGCTGTTTTACTGAATGACTTTCCACACTCACGGCATTCATAAGGCTTCTCACCCGTGTGACTTTGATGATGCACCTTCAGTTGAGATGGAAACTTAAAGGATTTTCCACAGTCATTGCATTTGTAAGGCTTCTCTCCATTGTGACTTTGTTTATGGGATGTCAACTCTGACTTACGTAAGAAGGCCTTCCCACATTTGTCACAGATAAAAGGCGTGTGATTCTTGTGAATCAATTCATGTTCATAGAAAGCTGACCTATCTCTGAAGGCTTTTCCACACAGTGTACACACGTACGGTTTCTCTTCTGTGTGAATTTGCTCATGCTCTTGGAGTGCAGCCTCAGTACAAAAGGATTTCTCACAACTGCTGCATTTGTAAAGCTCCCCTCCAGTGTGACCTAGATGATCCACCTTCAGCTGAAATGGATAATTTGATGAATCCGACACATAAAGGAAGGCCTTCCCACCATTGTAAGAAACAATAGGTCTGTCCAGAGAGAGAGTGATCTCAGGTTTGTGCACAGATATGGCATAAAATACCTCCCCACACTGAGAACCTGGGTCTGCTTTCTCCTGAGAATGGTTTTCATGTATCGGTGGTTGTTTATGGCTGAGAACATCTCCATTCTCAGTACTTCTGCATGATTCTTCTCCTCCACGAGTAACCACACAGTTAGCATTACAAGAGCCTTGTATCAGGAGCTGACTGGATGCAACAATGTTAATAAGCTGTTCTGTGACACTGCTTTCATTCCGACCATTTGCTCCTAGATTTAGCTCCAAACATTTTGGAAGTAAGCAATATCGTGGAAAATTCTCTTGTGTAGAAATGAGGTAGGATCTCAAAGGAATAATTTCCCCAGGATTTTGATATTTATGACCACTACTTGTACTCAGAGTTTTCTTGAGGAGAGTACCAGGAGGCAAGGGTAGAAACTGGTTTTGTTTATCTCTCTTAGCAGTATCAGCATCCTGCTGTAGTTCTTGTAAAGGGGAACACCATGAACCATCTCTTATGACTTCACTTGCCATGTCACTATGAACTGAAGCTTTCTCAGATACTGTCTGTGGTAAGGTGTCAATTCCTGATTTTTCTAAAAACAGAAACAGATGAAAGAATAAACAGAGTGACTAAGATGAAAAATGAATCATACAGAGGGATTGAGACTGAACATAAATGCCTAAATCAGGTCTAATGATGCTGATGATAACAATTAGTAGAAACAAGCTAATCAATAACTGTATACAATGGGGGTCACCTACACAGCAGACAATAATATAATTATGACAACAATGGATCAGATAATGAGGCATATAAACTAGTCAGCTGTATTTTTAAGATGGAAATATATAAACATGATAAGAACATCAGAAAGTTTCTGACTCCTATATAATAGAAATAAACTGCATGTTTGCATCAAAATGTATCAAAAAGCAAAATAGCAACATTTGTTGCAATAAAATCTATGAGTAGCATTGATTGTTCACGTGTCTTAAGTGGAATCCATAATTCACACTAGGAAAATTTAACCTAAGTAAGAAAGACACAGACATGGCAGCACAGGCTGTTAATCCCAGCACTCAGGCGGCAGAGGCAGGTGGATCTCTGTGAGTACAAGACAGCCTGATCTACAAAGTGAGTTCCCAGGACAGCCAGGGCTACATAGAGACCTGCTTGAAAAATAACAATAATAACCAAAAAATAAATAAAATACCACAGAAATAAACAACAAAAGAAGGAGATGGACTATACTGATGCCAATGGGGTTAAGAAAATAACTTGTGCATTCAAAAAGAAAATGGGTAGGGATTCCAAAATAGTAAAATAAATTATAGCACCAAGAGAAAATAGTTCAGAAGCCCAGAAGAGAAAATGTGATTAACCAGACAAAAAAGACTTTCTGACTTGAATGATCCCAATTTCTGATCTCCCAAAATGAAGGAAGGGAACCATCTTACAGGAATGTTCTCATATATCTAAACAAGGCAAGAGAGACTAAAAGGTCAGGGATTAAGAAATTCATCATAATACAACAATGAGAACTGCATATTCAGAATGAACAGAGCCTTTCAGGCAAACCTATCACAGAATGAGAAGAGGAACATACAGAACACTAAGCCTAAGGCGCCACAACTAAAGGAAAAAGATGAACCAGCAAAGGAAAGAAAAATCAGTTAATTCAGAGATCAACAGGAAAAGCAAAAACAGACACAATAAAAAACAATAATAAGAACCCAAAAGACAATATACTAATTTAGAAGTCAGTTGTTAGAACATATAAATTGCAACCAATTCTTTCTCTATTACTTGGGTAATATATTAACCAACTTGGCCAATGTCAGATGTTTATAAACAAGATGTGCAAATAAAAATTCTTGTGCATTTACACATCAGAGTGTAATTGGTCATCATTATTAGAAAATGGCGGAGTTAGCCCACTTAGGTTCGTTCATATCCATGGTCAGACAAGCTTGTCCCACAGACTCACCTTTCAGAAAGTCTCACATTGCCTCACATCAATAATAAATGGATTGCAGAATTAACCATAAAACTCCAAGGAGAAAGCAATCTAAAGGTGACCACCCCGGGGGACTTGGTGAGACAAACTGACAATGGCCTCGTGAAATCTACCCCGACCTGGGAAAGAGTGGCTCACCTTGACAGTGTTGGCCTGGAAGTTCAGCCTTTCCTGCCTGTGCCTCCTTTCCTTTTTCCATTCTAAAGATGACTCCGGGGCTGGGAATGGAATACCCTGTTAATCAGAAAGATTGGATTTTGGGTAGTTTCTTGTCTCAGAGATGATCCAGTGAAGTTCTGCACTGCATCATTAGTAAAACCAAGTCAACATTTTCTATTTTGTATAATTAATACTTGTAGGTACACAAAAGAAATGAAGCATCAGGGCAAATGAAGCAAGCACACATACATATACAGAGACGTGGGGGGAGGGGAGAGAGAGAGAGCGAGAGACTTCTGATACCCCAGCATGCTTTGTAAAGGGAAGGAAGGAAATCCTCAATGGAGCCCATCCTGGACCCCCAAGCCTGTCGTGCTCACCCACTGCCAAGAGGTGGCTGTAGATCTCCAGCATCACGTCCTGGTACAGGCGTCTCTGGGCAGAGTTCAGCTGCTGCCACTCCTCCTGGCTGAAGTTCACGGTCACATCCTCAAAGGACATCCACCTCTGTAATAATGAACCACAGTTCACAGTGAATGACTCATCACTCGAAAATGGAAAAGTTATACATAAGGTTAGGTTTTTAACGACGTTTCACTGCATTTCCCACAAAATATCTACTTTCTATTAATTTGGGGGGGATAGAAAACACTTATAAAGCAATCAATCCTGCCATTCATCACACACAATCACATTTTTTTTAAGTATGTTAGAAAAGGATTCTTTTTAATACTCTAAGAAAGAGTACACAGCACAACATTGATTAAGCAACAATATTTCAGCTTACAGTTATGCTGGATACACTGGATTCAACATTATGAAACAGGCATTTAAAAGCTACTTTGCTAAAAGTATTAGCTCCTTGCTTGGGAACTAAATCGCAGATAAAAGCCTGGCATCTCTGACTTCATTCTGTGTCTATCTCCTTGACTTTGGGTCACCCACTTACCTCTGCATACTAGCACCTATTACTCAAGGAGTGCCCGTCTAAACTATCCCAACTCCCTTCAAAGATGAAAGTACAAAGATTGGTCATTGTCCTTGTCCTTAATTTTTCCTCTTGAAGCTGTACCCTGAAGCAGAAGTAATCGCCCCACAAGAACTTCCTTTTTGCAATAGGGACTTCTTAGTTATATTTGTGGCTGCTTACTGATTAGCTATGAAAACAAAGCCCCCCAGCACCTGGTCCCTAATACAAAAATCAACATATTCTCTTTCTTCCTCTTCCTCTCTTCAAACAAAGCCTCATTCTGCGGCCTGACTGGCTTTGAACTCACTGGCCCAGAACTTGCTATGTAAATCAGGATGGCCAAACACTGCAGTTATCCTCCTGCCTCTGTGTAATATTTTCTCAAGGTGTTTCTATTAAGTATTTTGTCCAGGTGAGGAGAAAAGTAAGGAATACACCTGCATTTTATCTTATTGGCACTTCTTTCTCTGTGTACACCTGTACAATGCACTTCCTTGTGGTGGTATTGTGTTCCCCAAAATATTGTGCATGCTAATAAACTTATCTGGGGTCAGAGAACAGGACAGCCACAATATTAAACATAGAAGATAGGCAATGGTAGCACACGCCTTTAATCCTAGCATTCCAGAGGCAGAAATCCCTCTAGATCTCTGTGAGTTCAAGGCCACATTGGAAACAGCCAGGCATGGTGACACACGCCTTTAATCCCAAGAAGTGAGCCTTTAATCCCAGGGAGTTATGGCAGAAAGAGAAAGGTATATAAGGTATGAAGACCAGGAACTAGGCTGGTTAAGCATTTGGCTGGTTAAGCTTTCAGGCTTTCGAGCAGCAGTTCAACTGAGACTCATTCTGGATGAGGACTCAGAGGCATCCAGTCTGAGGAAACAGGATCAGCTGAGGAACCGGTGAGGTGAGGTGAGGTAGCTGTGGCTTGTTCTGCTTCTCTGATCTTCCAGCATTCACCTCAATACCTGGCTCCAGGTTTGATTTTATTAATAAGACCTTCTAAGATTCATGCTACACTTTCTAAAACTCTTAATACCACCTAGGAAAAGAATCCACACACAAAAATATTTTAATACACCAACCATAGACACAGATTACATCATTTGAACAGGTAATTTAAAAAAAAAAAACCAACTCTTACATATAGCTACTGCTAATAAATGTAAACTTGACTCCCTCTTCCGAAGCTCCCACAAGTTTTAGGTGTCTCTATGGCCCTTGGCTTCAGTTTCTATGAATACCTCTTGAAACCAGTTCTACAAGTCAACTCAGGATCCTTGGTCTACCTGAGTAGAGTTTGTGATGGTCACTGTTAATTTTCAACTTAATTAGTGTGAGAAAACCTGTCTTAATAATAGACAAGAACATTCTCTGGGCATGAGATATTGCACTATATAAGATGGGGGTAAATGGAATTAGAGATGTAACTTAGCAGTTTAGAACACTTGCTGCTCTTGCAGAGTTCCTGGGTTCAATTCCCAGCACCTACATGGAGGCTCACAACCAGCTATAACTCCAGTGCCAGAGGATCTGATGCTCTTTTCTAGTCTCCAAAAGCAGCAGGCACACACACACACTGTACACATACATGCAAGCAAAACATTCATCATACATATAAAATTTAATAATCCCATGATACACTCTTCAAATTACACAGCCCACAATGTTACTCTGAGTCTCCCTTGGCCAATGACAGCTACGTGCCATGTGTCACCATCATACTAGACTTCACACGTTCAGATTTAAATACCAGCTTACCAGAAATATAAGGCTAGAAGTTCATGTTAAATGACAGCATCAAAAAGCAACTTAGCCAAATCTAGAATTTGTCACAATCTAAAGGATAACCCAAAGTTCTTCAAAAAATGATTAACATGGGGGAGAAAAATTAAAAGATTAAAAGAGACTAAAATACTTTTTAGTTAGGCTGGATATGTGGACACTGGCTGGACCTTGAGAGGAAGACTCTACATATGGAAGCATGACCAGGAACAGATGATGTTAAGAAGGATTTATGGCTATGTAAAAGGTTACCATCTCAGAGATAAAGGCCAACACACAGAGAAAAGTATAGGCTCTGATATTTGGGTTACAAATAACCTAGCAATGGAAAAGGGGATGAAACAGGATGGGACCTATGCTGATAATTACTCAAACAAGGGGTTAGAGATACAATTTTTTTTTTGGGGGGGGGGTTCGAGACAGGGTTTCTCTGTGTAGTTTTGGTGACTGTCCTGGAACTCGCTTTGTAGACCAGGCTGGCCTCGAACTCACAGAGATCCACCTGGATCTGCCTCCCAAGTGCTGGGATTAAAGGCGGGCGCCACCTGCGCCCGGCTAGAGATACAATTTATTCTACTTTTACTTATGTCTGAAAATCTTAATAACACACCACTGACAACCTGCAGGCTCCCACATGTGTAAGTGGGCACATGGCTATTTCCTTCTGGAACTGCAAGTACTTTTGATAGATCTTCTTCCCGGCTGACACTAGCCACACTGGCACACAGCAAAGCAGTGCCACTCCCCCATCATGCTTCCATGTAAAAAGTATTTTGTATTAAAATTCTTTACATTGACATGTCACACGTATAACTGTAACTATAATGGAGAATTCCAGAAATAGTCCATTGAAATGTCTAATAGAGAAAATGTCAATTGATTATATTACTTTGAGAACTTTCCCTTGGAGTATTCAACAATTTATTAAAAATTGTTGCCTCCTGTGGAGAGAATGCCTGCACAGCCAGGCTTAGCGACACACACTTTTAATTTCAGCACTGCTAAGGCAGTTGGCAGGTGGATCTCCGAGAGTTTGAAGCCAGCCAGGTCTACATAATAAGTTTCAGGACAGCCAGGGCAACATTAGAGAAACCCTGTCTCAAAACCAAAACAAGCCTCCCAGAATGTATGCATCCCCAAAATTCACATCTACCTTGGATAGATAATCAATTCATGAGACTAGAGCCTTCATAAATGGGACTTTAAGAATATATGACAACATACTGAGACGATGAACATGAGCAACTAGGCAGCAGAGTCGCACCAGATAACCAATTTGCTAGGACTTTGAAGTCTTAATAATTGCGAAAAGCAAGGGGAGACCTTGACTCAAACAAAACAAAACAGAGTTCAGGGCTGAACTCAGTTACATAGCTAGTTCGAGACCACCTTGGACAACTAGGACCCTTTCTTTAAAAAAAAAAGTTTAACAAAAAGGAAAAAAATTAATATTTAACATATAAAAAATTCAGGCCAGGCGGTGGTGGCGCACGCCTTTAATCCCAGCACTTGGGAGGCAGAGCCAGGCGGATCTTTGTGAGTTTGAGGCCAGCCTGGTCTACAGTGTGAGTTCCAGGAAAGGCACAAAGCTACATAGAGAAACCCTGTCTCGAAAAACCAAAAAAAGATTTAAAAAAAAAAAATTCAGAAGGAACTAAAACATAACTACAAGAACAAAAATGAACAGCAAAATAATGTAAACAATAAAAATATAAGTGAAAAAAAATACCTGAAACATAAAGGAAAATCAGAAGCAAAGTTCCTTAAAAACACCAAAACATAAGCAAACAGCAACAAAAAACAAAGAAAGAAAAGAAGCCAGATGTGACTGTATATGCTTGCAATTCCAGAGCTTAGAAGGTGGAGGTAGGAGGATTAGGAGTTCAATTAAGTGTTGACTACCCAGGGAGTTTGAGGCTAGTCTGGGTTATGGAAGACCCTATCAAGAAACACAGCCGACTGGGAGTAAGAAAGAGAAAGAACAATGACCAAATAAGTAAATGGACACCACTAAGCAATCTCAGCCACATATTTATGGACATATAAATTAAATTATCCACAAACCAACACTCTGCTTCCAGTGAGCTGCTTGGCAATGATCAATACAATTACTGAAGCTGCACAGCTCTACCTTGCTGCATTTACCCCAAAGAGAAGAAATGCTGGGTGTCAGACAATATGCAGTTCACAAAGTCTGCAGTTTTCCAAACTGGCTTGACTTATTGATGCTCTCCACAGTGGCACCAACAGTGTTCCCTCAGCTTCCTTGGGACTCAAGCACATCTACACTTTGTATTTTTGGTGTGGCTAATTTTAGACCTTCCAGGGGAGGGAGCCACGGCAATTACACACGCATTTCCCACTCAACTGAGAAGCTTAGTTTTTCCCGCTTCCCTTACTACACAAGCAAGTCTCTTGCTCACTCAGTTTTCTGTGGAAAACGCTTTTAAAAGAAGTTAGTCCAGGAGCTTGGGAGATAGAGGTAGTCGGATTTCTGTAAATTCAAGGCCAGCCTGGGCTACAGAGCAAGTCCCGGCCCAGCAAGGGTTACTGAGACCTTGTCTCAAAAGGAGAAACTTATGTCGATCTGTGCCTTGTCTCTCCATGAGGAGGGAACGCACACTGAGGAGAGGGCAGGGCTTTGAGACTGGACAATGAGTGACTGGGGAAGGGGCACGATGTGGCTAAGGATCATGCTGATGAGACCCAGACAATAGAGGAATGGCAGACATGCACAGGATAAAGTAAA